CCCCCCCCCACACACACATACATGGATGCCACAATGCCGGTAAACTCGGAGACCTGCGAACGGGCCTGGGCAAGAACCTTGGACAGAGTGGACGCCTTCAGCATGTTGGACATGGTGCTAGAGGTGGTACGTCGAGTGGTGACGGTGGCGGTGGTGGTCACACTGCTCCAGCTGGTGGTTGGTTGTCTTGTCAGCCTTGGCCGAGGCGATTGCGATCATCACACACACACACACATGCACACGCACACACATACACACACACATCACACACACACACACACACACATACACACATACATACACATCACACATCACACACATCATTCCTTCCATCGCTCTAATATCCCACCAACTTTATCTTCATCTGGTGATGTCGAAGAGAGCCAGGACAGCAGACCAAGCCGGCAATCAGGCTCATCAAGCCCCAACCAAGACAACCTCGATTCCTACCACCACCACCACCTTCATCATCACCACCATCATCATCATCACCACCATCATCATCATCACCACCACCTTCATCATCACCACCACCATCATCATCACCACCACAGTCGTCATCACCACCACCATCATCATCACCACCACAGTCATCATCACCACCATCATCATCACCACCACCATCATCATCATCACCACTCCTCGTCTCTTCCATCAACATCCATTCCCCTCCACTAATGCCATGCCCATGATAGCTGTAACTGTCATCGGCTTGATAGCCATCACCAAACCCCTCCTCCCACACAGTCGGCCAGTCGCTCGTCATTCCGCCACTCTGTTGTTGGCTGGGTTTGGGCGTTGGCAGTTGGCAGTCCCTCTGCTCCACTCTCTCCACTATCTCACACAGGTCATGTTACGTATCATCGGACAACATGGGAGGATACTCCTTGGAACAAAGACCCTGTCCATGGGAAGTGTGCTGCTCTGGAAGAGACTGGCTGCCGCTACTCGGTCGTCCACGCCGTCTCGCCTGTCGCCCTTGCCTACCTCCTCGCGGCCTCTCTCGAGCACCCATCAACGGCGGGATGGGGGACATGATGGAGATGGCCGACGGGATGGCCGACGAGATGGCCGGCAGGAAGGGCAAGCAGATGGGCTTTCAAGAGCAAGTAGACAAGGTCGGCATGCCTATCCATGTCGTGCTGATCATGTCGCCGCTAGCGGCCAGAGCCATCAGGTTGCATCGGTTCAGACGGCGGTGAGTGGATCACCTGGACAACGGCAGACGGCGGCGATGGACGAAGTGGTGGCGCTGCTGGCAGACGATGCCGAGGGCGATCTGGTCACACCGCCCTTTGGATCAGAGGATGCGCCGTTCCGTATGGTGGCAGAGCGTGACGTCAAGCGGCTGTATCTCCTGGCTGACGGGAAGCTCGACAAGTTGCCAGTGGCTCAGTCCAAGCCAGCACCCAACGTCGATTTGGCCTCGAGCTTGGCAGACGACCACATGCGGTTGTATGCCTTGGCTGATGTGGAGGCTCTGGCTCTCTCTGTCCATGGATCCGAGGAGGAGCTCGTCCGCAAGCGCAAGTCGCTGTGGGAGCTGGCTGCCAAGGCGAGTAAGACCGTGGGGCGGACGGCGCGGGCACGGCGCGTGAGCCAGAAAAGCGGGAGCAGCGGCAGCTCAGGTGGCGACGCCGGCTGGGTGCCTGGGACCAAGGCCGTGTACACCGCCATTGCCACCAACTCGATCATCTGCGTCTCCAAGGCTGTCGCCTTTGCCTTCTCCGGATCGGGCGCGCTCCTTGCCGAGACCCTACACTCGGCCGCAGACGTGGGCAACCAATCACTGCTTGCGGTGGGCATTGCCAAGTCGACTCGCGAGTCGGACGAGGTTCATCCATACGGCTACGGCTCGGAGCGCTACGTCTGGTCGCTCATCTCGGGCGTCGGCGTATTTTTCCTCGGCTGCGGCGCCTCCGTCTACCACGGCATTCACTCGCTTTTGCACCCGCAGCCGGTCGAGGCGCAAACAATGGCGTTGGCTGTCCTCGGTCTCTCGTTTGCTCTCGAGGCATACTCGTCGGCTGTCGCCGTCGCCGAGATCAGGAAGGAGGCCGCCAAGGTCAACGTCTCGTTCCTCGAGTACGTGACCAACGGCTCGGACCCGATGAACACCGCGGTGCTGCTCGAGGACGGCGCAGCCCTGGTCGGCGTCGGCATTGCTGCCGGCGCCATCGGCCTCACCGCCGTCACCGGCAACCCCATGTACGATGCGCTCGGCTCGATCGCCATCGGCGGTCTGCTCGGCGGCGTCGCCACCTTTCTTATTGCCAAGAACAGAGCCGCGTTGCTCGGCAAGTCGATCTCGCCCGACAAGCTTCGCACCGTCCGCCGCCTCCTCGAGTCGGACCCCATGGTGGCCTCGGTCCACGGCGTCCGCGCCGTCTCGCTCGGCGCCGACAACGCCCGCCTCGCTGCCGACATCAACTTTGACGCCGCCGCCCTCGCCCGCGCCGCCTGGCCAGACTTGGACGCCTCGTACACTGAAATCACCTCGCTCCGCTCGATTGAGGAGGTCCACGCTTGGCAAAAAGCCGCCTCGCTCCTCCTCATCGAGCGCATCGGCGCCGAAGTTGACCGTCTGGAGCAGGTCGTCCACACCGCCGTCCCGGAGATCCGCTACATCACGCTCGAGGTATTGTAGTCGTGGCCAGCCGTCATCTTCATTCGTTCCACCAGCCGAGGCTCTCTACCTTGCCGTAGCTAGCCGACAAGGAACTGGTTCCGCCGGAATGCGGAGAGGATAAACTTGTTGAGCGACTGCACAAGAATGCGGCCGTACTTGTTCTTCTCAATCCGCGAGAGCAGCTCAACGGCGAGGGCGCGGACCTCCTCCGAGGCGTGGAAGAGGCCGGTGCCAAGCGGCGCAAGCCCGTCACGGTCCTCGGGGAAGAACTGCAGAAACTCGGTGATCTGGGCGTCCGACACCACCGAGCCGATAAACTCCTGGAAGACCCGCAGCATTTCGTCGTCGTCGAGTCGCTGGACCCGAAGCTTGGCCACCGAGAGCTCGACGTCTGCGCCCTGCAGCGCCGACTCGGCCGCAGCCTCGTTGGAGAGTGACACGTAGTGCTTGAATGTCGCTGTCCGCTTGAGCTTGTCCGTTCGCTTGCGGTTACAGTCAAGCGTCCGCGACTTGAGCGAGGTGTTGGGAAACTCGACCCGCGCGCGCGCAAGGTCGATGTTGAACTGGGTGTACTCCTGGAAGAGGCCCAGGATCTTGGAAGCCCCGTAGTGGTTCTCGACCGCAAACATGACTTCAGCAAAGAGCTCCGTGTCCTGCGACGCATGGTTCGACGGGTTCTCCTTCCGCTCCAACTGCATCCGTTGCGAGAGTACAACCTTGCCCGTCTCCAGATCGCACAGCACGTCCCACCAGTCCTCGCGCTGCTGGAAAATGAGGTTCGTCGTGCCGGCGCAGAACGACGAGAGCTGCAGAAAGTCGAGGTTGACCAGATTGGTGTACGGGAACGTCCGCTTGATGACCGCCGGCAGCGGTGGTGACACCATCGACATGGCGCCCAGCACCGCGTCGCACACCTCGCCCGCAGGGTGCCCGTACCCAAGGAAAATGACTCTCCGCTCCAGCAGCAGCGCATTGTAGATCGTCATGATCTCCTCGCCAAACTTGTGGATGAGCGGCACAATCGACTGCTCAGACACCTCGTCAGGCAGCATGATGAGCGGGACCTTGACAGGAATCTTGGCCGGTCCGTACTTGACATGCGACGAGTAGACGAGCGGCACTCCAAAGTCCGACGTCGACGCCCGGAGCAACTTCTTCTCCGCCAGCGAGTACTGTGGGAGCGACCGAAGATCCATCGAGTTGATGGCGTTGAACAGGTCCTCGATCACGGCAACCTCGGGCGTCACAAAGTACTGCTCCAGCGCGAGGATGAGCAGCGGCTTGAACACATGCATGTACTGGTGCTTGGAGCAGATCGCCATCGCCTTCACCTTGGCCCCGCGAGTCCACTCGGCGTTCTTCTGCGTCCGCACAAGATTCATGCAATACAGGAATGGCGGCTTCGAGTCCTCCGCTCCCTCCACCTCATCGTCCACGTCTGGTGTGTCCTGCTCCACTACAGCCTTGTCCGTCGTCGCAAGCAGCTCGCAGTGCTCCAGAAAGATGAGGTCGTCCTCCGGCGACGCAAACCGGAACGCCACTGCTGCCTCTGACGTCATTGCCACAGAAAACGTCGGCTCCAGCTGCCGGTATTCGATCGCTTCGTCGCACGAGAGCACAAGCAGCTCCTCGCGGTTCCGCTGGCACACAATAATCTCCGTCGGCAGGAGCACAAGCAGCTTCATGTCATCGTCCAGCTGCTGCCACTCATCCATCTCCGGATTGAACTGATACGTCCATGCCTCGAGCACAACTTGCCGCTCCGCAGCCTCGTCAGCCCTGCTCTCGGACGCCGCCGCCGCGCTTGATCCCAGCACCTGCTCATTCTCGTCACGATTGATGAAGAACACCGTCCAGTCCTCCTCCCGATTGTGCGCTCCGTCTGGCAGCATGAGCTCGGCCAGGCACCTACACACTCCCGCGGTTGCACACACGTAGCCCAACAAGAACACATAGCCACATCCCCGTCCCCATACACAAGCCCGCCAGGTACAGGCCCACCACACCCTCGACGCTGTGTAAGTGTCCCGAGCTCGGTCGTGGTGGCCAAAGGGCTCTCATTGAAAAAATGACCTTTTGCTGCGACAGGCGTAGCCAAGAGCCCGCCAGCCGGCCCCATTCTCATCACCTCTACTCCCCGCATACATATCCCCTCCTCTTTTTCTTCCCGCCATATACCCTCTTCTCATGCTCTACTTCATGCTCTGACAATCCCCATCATTGTAGGTGGCTTCTACCGCCGACCCGGGTGGTTCAGGCTCGCGGTTGCCCCCCCCCCCCCCTCGCCCCCCCCCTCCCCCATGGCTGCCCACGATCAACCCCACGGTTGATCACGACCATGAAGACGACCACGTACTGCTCCTCGATACCGGTTGCGGTTGGGTATTGGACCGAGAGCAGCGAGCCCTCGTCAATGTCAAACTCGGCAAGGAGAAGGAACTCCACATGGTCCTCCATACTTGCCTGCTTCTGCGCTTCCAAAAAGGAGGAGCGGTGCAGGTCCGAGTCAAATGGCCGTACTCCCCCCCCCCCCTCCCCCGTCTCGTCAATTGCCACACTGGCTTGACTCGCGTTGCCGCAAACTGCACTCGGCCGTGTCGAAAGTGGTTCAGAATCCAATACAAGATGGCGTGCCACCACATGCGCGGCCACGCCGACCGACAAGCTCGTCCGTCACAAGACGTCCTCGCGCTCTCCCATCTGGCCGCTGTGTTCAACTCTGTGATGCTCGACAACCTCGGTACCGTCCGCGCCCGCCGATCCGGAGGAGCGGCGCCGTACAGCACCTCGCGCGCCTCGCCCATGCTCCCAGGCGTCTGTCGCCGCTACGGCAACTCGGGCATCCTTCAGGCGGGCGTCTAGGCCGCCATCGCGTGCGGGCGCGCCTCCCACCGGGAAGTCAAGCATCATCGAGTTGTTCACTTTGAAACGCGCGTCAATGCGTCCAAACAACCGTACCGTTAAGGGTTATCAAAAAATCATGCCTGACCCTCACCTCAAGTCGGCGGCGTTAGCCGGGAGCGACTGCGACTAAGACTACCTCGTGGCCATGGCTCACGATCGCGACCGCAAGGGCACAATGCAAGGCATCTGGCCTTTCCTTCCTCCCACCCCCCTTTCCATTGGAAAACCTTCAATGATAGGTCGAGGTGACCTGCGACGAGCCGATGGGTCCAGTCATCCACGAGTCGACGCCCGACGAGAGGCCCGTGTTCTGCTGGAGGGTGTACTCCGAGTAGCCAGCCGAGGTCATCTGCGCGCCAACTTCGTCGGTTGTTGTCGACTGGACTGAGTTGACGGCACCGGCAGACGTGACGGTCGAGAGCGCTCCCGACGATCGCGATTGGATGTTGCTCGACGAGGTGCCGAGTGCACCCGACGACGACTTGTCCTGCGGCAGGATCGTCGTCGACGACGGCTTGGGTGGCTGGGCCGCAGACAGCTTCGGATCGCCCTTGTTGTTGTCATCATCGCTGTTCGATGCCGCTGATGCCGAGGTCTCGATGGCCGAGTCCGGCTCGAGGCCGTCGGACGCAGCCGAGAGCTGCGTCTGGAGGCAACCTGGCAACACAACCGCAGGTTCAGGCGGTGTCATCGGCTTGACCTCGGGCTCTACCTTGGGCGCTGCCTCGTGGTCCGAGTCCGGCAGCGGGGCGAGGGTGAGGAGCGTCGGCGACTTGAGCGCGGCTGCAAGCTTAGCGAGGTTCCGCATGTACGCCGCCCACTTTTGCGACGAATGGTACAGGTGCGCAATGGCAGTTTTCTGCTTGGTGCAGAGTGGGATGCGCCGCATGGCGGTCGCGCTCTCGAGGTAGTCAAACACGACATGGCCCGGCATACTCCGAGTTGCACTGCCTGGCGGTGCCATCACCGCCGGATCCGAAACCGCCAGATAGTGCAGGCTCGGGTCGTGGGCCCAGGCCTCGCGCCCGAGGCTCACCACCATCGGCGAGAGCTTCAACTGCGCATCGAGATGCGAGAGTGGGGCAAAGACTGGGTGCGTCACCGTGAAGCGCGTCACCAACAACCCGCCGGTGCTGACCTTGAAGGCAAACGGGCTGCGGAACGGCTCGAAAACGAGCTTGAGCGCCGAAATGACGTCGTCCGCCACCGCCGCCAGCCGCCGCCCGTAGATGTCAAACGGGGCGAGGTGGAGCGTGTACTCCTGCCCGGCGGTGATAATAAACGCCCGCCGCCCGAGCGTCACCAGATCAAACTTGGACGAGACCGCAAAGCATGCCTCTTTGACGCCCAGCCGCTTACGCGTCATGTTCTCGCCGGTACAGAGCATGTCAATGCGCGAGTTGGCCAGCGAGAGCCGGTGCAGGTAGAAGAGGAACGGCGAGCCGCCCACATGGTGTCCGTTGACCAACACATCCAGCCGCATCGGGCCTTCCTTGTCCTGCGGCAACGCCACGTACAGCTTGTGCTGGTTCAAGTCGGCCGAGACCGCCACCCCTCCGTGCGTCTGCGAGATCCCGGTCATGAGTTCGGTCAGCGTCCCGGTCACCACCACCATCGACGCCTTGTTCGGCAGCTGCGACGTGCTCGAGGGCGAGTCGTGCGACGACGACACATTAGTCAGATTGCTCGCCGTCACTACATCCTGCGGCGAGCCGACGCAAAACCGCATCGCGTACTCGCGCGACTGCGAGCCAAGGAGGAACCACGAGATTGGGATGCCCACGGGTGTGCCACACAGAAACGGCGCAGACGGCGTTACTCCAGGCATCGCCTGTCCAGACGCCTCTGCCAGTGCCGCCCACCGCCGTTGCGACTGCATGAGCCGCCGCCGTGTGGCAAACATCTCGACGTCGTCGGCATCGGTCTCGTACACCCGCCAAGTCCCACTCCCTGTCATGGTCACGTCGGCGTCGCCGTGCGCTGCGCCCATCGCCACCACCTCGTACGACGCCACAGGCACAGGTGCCGTCTCGCCCGGTGCACGCAGCGCAAACGTGCCCAGCTCCGGCATGACAAACATGACAATGTCGTCCGCGTCCAGCTCAATGAGCAAGCCGTCCGAGATCCCAGTCTGATCGCCGAGGATGAAAGAGCCCGAGCCGCTAACACCCGATCGCCCTAATGATGAAGGCAGCAGACCCGTCGCATCGTCGAGCGAAGCAAAGAACGCCGTGTCTTCGCACGACGACATGGCCGACGCCACGCCAACATCGAGCAACGCATCCGCCTTGTCGTCATCCGCGCCATCGCTCTTGATCCCATCCTGCTCGTCGTTGGCGCCGCGCCTGCGCTCGCCAACGTCAGGGGTGTCGCCGTCGCCAGCATAATTACCGAGCGGCACACGTATTCCGTCAATGTTCGCCGACGACGACACGACTACCAGTGGTGACGACAGCGGATGCGACGACTCTACGTCAAAGTCAGCCACGTCTGATGCCACATCATCAACCTCCTGCTGCTCGACTTCCTCGGCAACAAACACAAGCTCCAGGTGCTGCCCATCCGCAGCGTCAAACGCCGCAGCAGAGCCAAACAGCTCGCTCACGCAATCGGCTTCGCACCCGCACTCGTCCTCTTGCTCCTCGACCTCAGACTCGGATTCAGAGAAGCTCAAGCTCACCTCGGCGCCATCATCCACCGCCTCGACCGAAGACTGCTGCTCCTCGGCGATCTCCTTGCCCTTGGCAATCAGCCGCGCCGCCGCCACTCGTGCGCCCTGTGGGCTGACTTCGGAAATTGAGTTGAGGCTCGAGTCATAGGACGCCTTGGTCTTTCCGGTTGTCGACGAGAGCGAGGTGTCGAGCCGCGACTTGGAGATCGAGCGCGAGGCCGACAAACTCTCCTTCGAGTCGTGGAGCTTGGTGGTTGCAGCCGAGCGGGAGGCGGAAGACTTGGCCTTGCGAGCTGCTTGGCCCGACGCTTTCCCGCGCTTGGACTTGGCCTTGTCCGGGAACGCCCGCGATGAGGCCTGCGAGCTGGTGCCGACACGGTTGCGCGACGACGACGACTTGATGCGATCCACCATCTTGGTCCGCACATCGGCATCGGCACCCATACTCCGCCGCGGCGCAGACTTGGTCGTAGACGACCCGCCCGCGGGCGACTTGACAATGTCAAAGGCCTCCGAGTGCAAGATCTCATTGGCGAGAATGCGCCAGAGCGGTGCCTTTTTGCACCGCCACAGCACCATGTCCGGAACCAGAGGTGAGCAGCGGACAAAGGCGCGCGAGACAAGGCGGACTTCGCCAAGTGACGGCGGCGAGGCCTTGGTCGTCGCGACCAGGCCGACTGCCACGTGTGTCGACGGATTCTGCGCCACTGGCCGCCACACAAACAGCGGCGGTGATGTCGACTGCTCTGACCACACCAGTGCGTACGAGACCGGCCTCACAAGGGCGCTATGGTCACGCGCCACCACAATGGGGTGCTTCTTCGGCACCGAGTGCCGGTTATGGAGCGCGTGCCCGAGACGCACATACCCAGACGGCGGGAGCGGCCGCCAGACCGAGAGCTTCTTGGTCGCCGCATGCATGCCCGAGTTGGTCCACACCAGCGCCAGCGACGCGCCGCGGAAGAGCTGCGGAGGTGGGTGGAGGACATGGCCCGGGAGGAACCGGTGCATAACCAGCGGTGGTGTGGTGGTGAGCACAGGATCCAGGCCCCACGTAATGGTCCCGGTGTAGTGGTTGAGCGCCATGACTATCGTCTGCGCCACAAGGCCGACAGACTGGCGCTTCTTGGACATCTGCGGCCGGATCTTCCACATTGGCGAGCGCTCTGACTTGGCCACAAACGCAACCAGCTCGCGCTTGTGGACCGTCACCACCGAGGACACCGCTGGCATGTCGGCTGTATGGGTGCAGACCACCCCGAGCGCCACATGGTCTGCGTCCGGTGGAATCGGCTCCCACATCCACAGCGGCCTATGCCGCTGTGACGACGACCACAGGAGCCGGAAGCCGCGCGGCTCAGCAAAGGCTTGGCACGACACGTGCCCCACGAGCACCGGCCACCGCGGTGGCTCCGGGCCAAGCGAAATGGTGTCGCCAAACCGGACAACGCCAGGGACGATGTTAACCCGCCACGCCGTAAACGAGAAAGGCGGCGAAGACTTGCGAGCCTCGGTCGTTGGCACGAGGTGCTGTTCAACCCGATACATCTTGCCCTCGCCAATGAACGAATACTCGCCCACAAAGGTGACGAGCGGCGGAAGTGCCTGCACAAGGTGCGGTGGCAACGGCCGGCTTGCCGGTGGCCGCTTTGGCGACGGCAGTGGTGAGTGCGTCGCAGAGGTTGAGAGCGAGCCACCTGGAAAGCCTGTCGTGGCGTGGATCGAGGCCGGCGTAGACTGGTCGCGGACAGCGTCGGCCATTGCTTGCCGACTGACTGTCGGCGGCAGCAGCAGTGCGTCAAGCCAGTCCGGCACTGGTGCGAGCACATCGCCAGGCATCGACGTCACTCCGCCAGAAAGCGCATTGCCGAGCCAGTTTGGCTGGTACGGCAGCCCGTCCGCATCACGGAGCGAGACGTCGAGCGCCACAACCTGCCCGTGGTGGAAGATCTCTGATGCAAAGACATGGCTCGCGTTGTCAAAGTACAGCGCAGAGTTGGTAGAAATGCCCGAGTGCGGCGGCGAGACCGGGCCGGCGCAGAATGCAACCGTCAAATGCGCCTCAGGCACAAAGGTTCGGTCGTACCACACCGCCATGGTGAAGACGCCGGTGGCGAGCGAGTTGAGTGAGATCTTGATCTGACCTGGAGCCGTCAGCGACATCGTGACGTATGTCGGCGGCCCAGTGCAACCCGGCACCGGTGGCCAGCAGCCTTCGCTCGCCCCGCCAGCCTCACCGCCAGCTCCGCACGCCCGCTTTGGCGGCGGCGGTGGCGGCATGGTCGACATCGTTGCGCCGCGGTGCATACCCCCACGCGACTCATATGTCGACTCGAGGTCCTGGTCAACCTCGCGGGCTCGCTGAGAAGCGTCAGTACCGGGAACCGCATACTGCAAACGGAGAACCTCGACTTGAATCTTGTCGAGTGCAGCGACCGTCGGCTGGCCGTCGGCGCCCAAAGCAAGCAGCGTCAGCGCTGACGAGCCGGGCGCAAAGGCGGTGGCAAAGTGAGAGGGGAAGGCCTGCTCCGAACGCAGATCGGTGCCGCTTCGGCCAATACGAGCATCGTCCACGGCAAACTGCTCCAGCGAGTACTTGAGCCGTGCCGACGACCCGTCTTTGCTTCTGCCACCGGCCACAAACCTGCGGAGCACAGCAGCGGCTGCCGACGACGAGTGCGGGCCAGATACCACACCGACGACAAAGCCTGCAACCGGCTGCTTCTCGTTCTCTTCTCCGATCTCAGCCGGATTTGGCGGCGGCGGGACGAGCGGTGGAGCGGTAGCTGACGACGGAGACGGCGATTGAACCAAGGTCGGCTGACGCCTCAAGCGCATGCGGATGACTTCGTCGGCCAAGGTGGCCGAGACGACCGGAACGTGAGCCGCTGACTTTGCCACACCATGATGCAGATCCTCAACCAGACCACCAGGTGCAGCTTGACCTTGTTCCCATTGCTCCCTCAGCCAGAGCGTGCCTCGATGGAGTGCAAAGGCAAGCGAGAGGGACTCCCACTCGTAGACGGCGGCGACGGCAGACGCGGCCTGAAGGCGACGAAAGAGAAAGGCACAGATGGCCCCTGCCACAATGCATGCCACTCCAAGGGCCGCAAGCGCAACAACCTCGCCTTCAAAAAACGCCATGCTCCGTGTGACTCGCCCTCTGCTTCCCGCACACCAACCACAGAGAGTTGTCTGACGGCTCTCTGCCTGCCTCGCCCAAAGCTCGGTTGCGCCCGGTTGCGTTCGCTGGCCAACGACCGAGAACCACTCGCGCGGGATAGACGTGGGGGGTGGGGGGTGGGTATGGCATAAAAAACTTTTTTGAGTGGCGCCAAGACGCAACGTCACCCAACTGGTCACAAACGTTTTCGCTTGCTGCCAAGTTGGCTCTTGTCGTTGCAGTAATTGATGCTGCCGAAACGAGTAGTTTAAAGAAAGCCGGGACTACGGGGAAGCTTGGTGGTGGCAACGTGTATTGAGGGCGAGTACGTGTGATCGCTGGCCGTAGGATAGTGTATGGGTAAGATCCAGTTGGGTGGCTCAACAGGGGACGCTTGTCGAGGACGACGAGGCCATCTGGTCGAGTACGCAGTCATCTCTTGACAGGCAACGACCTGGTCTTGACGGCTGCGGAACAGTTCGAGAGCAAACGTGGCAGGAAACCGCAACAGCACCAAGCAGGGCGCATACATCTCTCATCGTTTCGAGGCAGGCTCGACATCAGCATTGCAGGTAAGAGACGTGCTCGCACCTGTTTGTCTCTTCGGCTGCATCTGCCTACTTGTCCGGCATGTCGCGCTCGAGCTCGATATCGAGCCACACACGGCTCAACGTCTCGCAGTCCCTCGCCGAACTCCCCACTCAGTCATCGCTTGTTCTCGACGACTCGGCCAACGATTGTGACGTCTCCGAGTTAGACGCTGAGAATGGCGTGTCCGCTTCGTTCTCGGATTTCGATGGCTCGCTCAGCGCATCGCGCGACGACTCGAGCATCGACTACGCCCGGCGGAGCTTGTTGCGCGACAGCCCCCGATCGATGTCGCGCGCTTCCGACTCGTCCTTGCCCGTGCAAGGTGCCATGCGCAAGCGCGCCATCGAGTCGAGGTTGGAGCGTGTAGTCGAGATGCATTCCGAGCGGAACTCGATGTTGCAGGCGGATATCTCCAAGACCAGGTCGTCTTCGTCCTCGTTGTCATCGTCATCATCATCGACGTCATCGTCCTCTACGCCGTCGTCGCCGTCATTATCACGGTCCTCAGCGAGGGGCTCGGGGTCAACCAGAAGAACCAAGCTGCCTCTATTGATGCACTCTAACCCCTGCAACAGAATCCCCGATGACACCACGATGAGCCGCTCCGACTCGACAGCCACAGACACGTCAGACGCGATGCTCAATGTGACATCCATTCTCAACCACAAGAGCGGGGAGCATCTACCTGCTGGTGTGGCTGGCAAGTCGCTGTACATGGCAATGGTCGACGAGCCAACCAGCGCTTGGTCGCTGCCAGATGAGATGACGCGGCCAGAAAGCTCTGCGCACCAGCCAACCACACCGTCGCCTCTCTCGTCGCCCTCGAATACCTGCCTGGCGCCACTTTCAGGCAACGGTGGTCGCTCTCTGGGCGGAGGCAAAGGCCGGTCGTCGTCGCGGTCGATCGTGCGGCTCAAGTCAAAACAGTCACTTCGACGGCGGGCAACGTCGATGAACGACTCGGCAGCGCGATCGCAGTCGCGATCGCGTGTGAGGGCCCGCGCTGCATCGCCGTCTGACGCCCAGCCGGTAGGACCCAAGCGCATCACGCCTTTTGAAGCCGCCAAGCTTGCCAAGCAAGTGGAGACCCTGTCGCGCCAGATCGAGAACACCGATGCGGTGGTAGAGAACCAGACCCACGAGCTTGCTGTAGCAAGCACAACCATTTCCGAGCTCTCGTCGACAGTTCGCGCGCTGCGAAAGCACATCGCGCGGCTAGAGGAGAGCAACAGCTCCGGTGCCGGAGGTGCTGTGGCCTCGGAGGTCGCGCTCGAGCTGCAGCAGAAAACGAGTCGCTGCGAAGCCAGCTAGATCAGCAGAGGCGGCAGGGCCAGGATCTGCAGTCGCAGCTTGCGCCACTTCGGGTCCTGCACTCCGCAGTCGCCTCGCACTTGCTCAATGCACAGCTCAAGATCAAGGCGCTCAATGCCCAGGTGCGGTCGGCCAACGACGAGCTCTGCGCGCTGCAGCAAGCACACGCGGCACTGGCCGAAGAGAATCGCCAGCTGCACAAGCAGACCGATATGGCTCAGGCCCGCGATGCGGCGTACACTACACTCCTGGCTGAGCATGCTGCGCTGCTGGAAAGGATGAGTGAGCTGGAACTCGGCGCTGAGAACGCTACGCTTGGAGCGATGGCGCGCCGAGCGGACGCGTTCCGTAACCAGCTTCATCTCGAGCTCGAGGCCAAGGACGACGTAATCAGTGAGCTTGAGCTCAAGCTGGCCAGCGCGCAGCGGATCCGCGCGCGCTTCGAGTTGGCGCTCAACGAGCAGGCAATTGAGGCTGACACTGAGCGTCAGAAGCTGTCCCAGGCAACCAAGCTCATCCGCAATCTGGAGAGCCAAAACGCGCAGCTTCGCGATCCAGGTATGCAAGCCCCGATGGGGCGAGTCGCGCTGCTTTTCACCGACGTGCAGGGCTCGACGCGGCTGTGGGCGGCGGATCCGGAGAACATGAGCGAGGCGCTCTGGGCACACAACACGGTCATCCGCGAGTGCCTCGCCGAGTGGCAAGGGTATGAGGTCAAGACCGAGGGTGACGCGTTTATGGTGGCGTTCGCCGATCCACGCGACGCCGTTGCGTGCGCGCTCCGCATTCAGTCGGCACTCCTCGACATCGCATGGTCGCCCAAACTCCTCGAATCGGACGATGCAGCAGAGGACTACGACGCCGATGGTGTGCTTGTATATTGCGGCTTCCGAGTCCGCATGGGCATCCACATCGGCGAGCCGGTAACCCGTCGTGACCCGACCCATCACCGCATGGATTACTTTGGCTCGGTTGTCAACCTCGCGGCGCGTGTGGAGAGCAAGGCGCAAGGTGGACAGGTGTTGATATCCGAGGAGACGCTTGCAGCCATCCGGCCCATGGACGATCTTACCATCGGCATGCCGGCGCCACTGCTTCCGGCCGGATCGTCTTCGGCCGGGGGGACACACGATGTGCTCGACCATGCGCATATTGTCCCGCTGGGCGCCACCGAGCTGAAGGGCATCCCCCATCCCGTCACACTCTTCCAGGTTGCTGCCAACGAGCTCGCCGGGCGAATCTTTACTGCTTGGGGTGCCATGAATGATGAGGACCCGTCGCCCCCGGTCGAATTGATGACCCCAGAGGTTGACTCGATCGCCTTGTCGGTCGTCGTCCCGTCTGGCTCGAGCCACACGCTCGCCCTGCCGACGGCATGCTCGCACTCGGAGCTCTTGCCGACCGAGGCAGCGCTTGTGCCATCACAGATCCAGGCAAGTCTCACTGCTGCCGAGGCACGCATTCAAGACCTTGAAGACGAGCTGGAACGAACCCAGGTTGTCAAACAAGGAACCAGTGCACGGCTGGTTGATCTCACGCAGGAAGCCAAGGATACACGCGAGTCTACAGCAGAACTGCAGGAGCGGCTTGTGGTGGCAGAGCGAGCCCGCGCCAAAGCGGCGGCGCGAGGTGAGATTCTCGAGTCCCAGCTTGCGAATGCTAGCGACGATGCCCGCCACGATGCAGAGATGGCCAAGACTCGGATTGCGGCGTTGGAGGGTAGCCTCGAGGAGAGCAAGGTGTCTCTGCAGCAGGCATCGGATGCGCATGCGGCGGCGGCGGCCGAGGCAGTCAGCTTGGGGGTCCAGCTGGAAGATGTGCGCCGTCAGGCCCGGATGCAGGTTGAGCGTCTGGAACTCGAGGTCGAGCGGTGCCGGCGGCGGGAGTCGCAGCTGACAGACGAGCTTGCAGTGGCGCGCACCGACGCTGACCGACGTGCCGACGAGTATCGTACGCGCGAGCTGGCGTGGCAAGCTGATCTCGATGAGCTTCGCACCACTGAGCGCGCCTGTCGAATTGCAGCCGAGGATCTTGCCCACAATGTCGAGGCCAAACTACGACGAACCGAGGCGGCTCTCTCCAGCGCCGAGCAGCGACGGGATGAGCTTGAAGCTTCATCCCATAAGCTGTTGGAGACGCAGTGGATGATGGCGGCCAAGGATCGCGAGCTCGAGTTCAAGCTTAATGAGCTGGTCACCAAGGACCGCAAACTGAAGGAACTGATGCAGGAACTGGGCACCAACGAGCAGGCACTGTCAGATGCCAGGCGTGAGCTTGCTGATGCTAAGCGGAAGCTGGCCAGCAACGAGCAGTCGCTGGCAGATGCCAGGCGCGAGCTTGCTGATGCGAAGCGGGAACTAGCCCACAACGAGCAGGCGCTAGCAGATTTCAGGCGCGAGTTCGATGACACCAGGCAGGAGTTGAGCACTAGAGATCAGGCGCTGGCCGATTCCAGGCGCGAGCTCGATGATACCAGGCAGAAGTTGAGCACTAGAGATCAGGCGCTGGCAGATTCCAGGCGCGAGCTCGATGACACCAGGCAGGAGTTGAGCACTAGAGATCAGGCGCTGGCAGATTCCAGGCGCGAACTCGCGAGCTGGCGTGGCAAGCTGATCTCGATGAGCTTCGCACCACTGAGCGCGCCTGTCGAATTGCAGCCGAGGATCTTGCCCACAATGTCGAGGCCAAACTACGACGAACCGAGGCGGCTCTCTCCAGCGCCGAGCAGCGACGGGATGAGCTTGAAGCTTCATCCCATAAGCTGTTGGAGACGCAGTGGATGATGGCGGCCAAGGATCGCGAGCTCGAGTTCAAGCTTAATGAGCTGGTCACCAAGGACCGCAAACTGAAGGAACTGATGCAGGAACTGGGCACCAACGAGCAGGCACTGTCAGATGCCAGGCGTGAGCTTGCTGATGCTAAGCGGAAGCTGGCCAGCAACGAGCAGTCGCTGGCAGATGCCAGGCGCGAGCTTGCTGATGCGAAGCGGGAACTAGCCCACAACGAGCAGGCGCTAGCAGATTTCAGGCGCGAGTTCGATGACACCAGGCAGGAGTTGAGCACTAGAGATCAGGCGCTGGCAGATTCCAGGCGCGAGCTCGATGACACCAGGCAGGAGTTGAGCACTAGTGATCAGGCGCTGGCAGATTCCAGGCGCGAACTCGATGACGCTAAGCGAGAGCTGACCGCCAAAGAGCAGACTCTGGCAGGCGTCCGGAGCGAGCTGGTGCTGGCAATGGATATGAACCTTCAGCTGGAGGCTGACGCGTGGCAGGCGCCTCCACCAGAGAACGAGCTCGCCATCAATGCTGCCAACGAACGGGCCAGCCAGGCCGAGGCCGAGCTGGCTCTCTGCCAAAACGAGTTGGCAAAGGCACGTAAGGCACAGATGTCCTTGACAGTCGACGACAAGTCCCAATCTGCGTTACAGAGCACAATCAGTGCGCTGTCCAACAGTCTGGCGCTTCTCCAGAACCAACTCGCATCGGCTTCCGCCGCCGAGACCGCAGCCCGTCGCAGCGAGGCGGCAGCCCGCGCCGCCGAGCACGATGCCCGCAAAGAGGCTTCTGACGCACGACAGGAGCTGAAGCTCGTCCGACAAAACATGCTCGCGGCAGAGGCGCTCGGCGAGAGCCGGGCCGCGTGCGCCACTGGCGAGCTGGAAGACGAAATCAAGCTACTTCGCGCGGAGCGGACATGGCTGCTTGATGAGCTCGAGATCGCACGGGTCAAGGCAGGCCTGCCACTGTGACCTACTACTCGTTTTCGCCTTCTTGCTCAAGGTAGTCGCCAAAGGCCGCAAGCCGCATCTGAGTCGCTACCTCGTCCTCCTGGGTAAACTCTTCCACTCCGTCCCAGAACTCGACCACCACCGCACCTTCAAACGAGCTGGCATCACGTTCGGCATCCATGTGAACGCCGTGCAGGCCGCGGCGGAGCAAAAGCGCTTGCTGGTGCGATGCCGCCGTGAGCTTGACCACTCCGTCCGGGTGGAGATCGAAGATCTCGATGTTGCGCAACGAGGCCCCTGCCCGGGCAGCGGCCGAAGCCAGAGCAGCCTTGACGCCCGCAAGCGCGTTGGGCGACTTGAGAAGAGTGGCGGGCGTAAAGGCGTGCCTGGCTACGAGCACTTTCGGAAGGGCCGTGTCGGACTGGCGTGCAGTAGATCCGCTCGCCTTTGCGCTTGCGCTTGCATTCACCCCGAGCTGCTCAGCCCGCTCTGGCTCGTCGTCGCCGTCCCAGGTGAGCGCGGTCGCCTGCCGGACTGCAATCCTAGCCGCCTCCGGCTCACGGGCTATGTCGGCAGACTTGCCGTTGGCACGCGGGCGGCGCTTGGCGTTGGCAGCCGTATGGACAGCGGCGATGCACTCGAGCGCAAGATCAAGAAAGCCGTCTGGAGCGGCTGCGATTGCAGCCGGCCCAATCACCACCCGCACCACCGCGCCGCAGACATCGGCGCCATCAAGGAGAGAGGCAGCGAGTGTGACCGACTCGGGCTTGAAGAAGACCACAGCGGCAGATCGCGCATTCGGAGCGGCGTTCGCCTCAGCAAACAGCGCTACATACGCCTCGCCCGAAGTCACGTCCTTGAGCAGCATACCGCACTTGTTGGCCGCCACAGTGGCAACCGCATCGGCATCGACCACGGCACTTAGTCCTCGCAACACAACCAGCCGCGCACGCACCAACGCCAGCGGATCTTCCTCGCGCTTGCGCTTGCGAGCCACACCAGATGGCGCTACCGCTGTCGTACCACCACCATATGCGGCAGCCCAGCTCGCCGCCGCCGCCGCCTCTACGGCCGCCGCGCTCGGTCCCGCCGCCGCTGCTGCTGCTGCGTCCAGCGAGGCCATCATGGCGCTTTGCTGTGCAGCGACCGCTGCCACCAGCTGCTGATCAAGCACAGTACCTTGCGATGAGCCATTGGGCGTAGAAATAGCCCCTGCGCCTCCAAGGCGAGCCGCAAGTGCGGTATCGGTGGCCACCAGAGCCGCCACAGCTTCACGATTAGCAGCAAGCGGGGCGGCAGACGGAGTAGGCAAAGCAGGCGGAAGATCCGTGGCAGCAGCAAGAGCGGCAGCACGCATAGCGTAGGCATGGCCCCAGTGCGGGCGGAGATTGACCAGGGCATGGGCATCCCAGGCGGCAGCCGAGGCATCGGTGGCCAGAGTCGCCTGGGCCCGAGCCAGCAAAGCCGACGGCACATGCTCAGCCAGCCCGGGAGGGGCACTGCCAGCAGAGGCGGCGGCGAGAAAGGCAGACAGGTGAGGGACGGCGGCGGATGTGTGGCCTTCGGCAAGGAGGGCTCCAGCTTGCTGGAGGGAGGCAAGGGCTGTTGCGTCGGATGTGGCCATGGCAGGGGGGGGTGGGGTGGGGTGGGGTGGGGTGGGAGGGTGGAGTGATGGCGACTCGGCGGGCAGGAGGCGGGCGGGCGGCGGGGAAGAGGGGCGCGCCATTCAATTAGAGGAGGGGAGAGAGAAGGGAGGGGGGCGTGTCGATTGGATCAGACAGCCATCATGATCCCAAAGGTGGGAAAAGACGGGAGGGGGGGGAGGCGGCTGGGAAGGAGCGGGCGGCAGGGGTCAAGTCGCGCCGTCGGCTCCAGAAGACTCCGTCGCGCGCCCGAGAACGAGGAGGCGAAGGGCGGCGGGAGGCGAGGAGTGGCAGCGCCATCAGCGGGCACCGGCCTCCTTGAGTTCGTTGAGCATGCGATCAAAGAGCGAGTGGTTGAGAGCAGCGAGAGCGGTGGTGATGGTCTCGGCCGAGGGGATGATCTTGACGTAATTGAGGCGACGCGAGGCGGTGCGGGTGCCAAACGAGCCTGTCGATGCCGAACGCGAGAGCGCGATGCCGGACGATGACGAGATGGAGACAAGCGAGAGTGTCTGCAGCGAGTCGGTGAGCTCGAAAAAGGCCGAGCCCGTAGCAAAGTCGGAAAAGTGGGCGATGTCGGTGCAGAGCCTGCGGTAGGCGTTCTCGAGCTGGACGTAGGTGAGGTACGACTTGCCGGAGCGGGCGACATGGCAGGCGCCGGCGAGCAGGAGCACCTTTTGGTGGAGAGTGAGGTTGGCGATGGCAGAGCCCTGCTTGGAGCCGAGCGTGGCGCGGATGTGCTTGGACATGGCGCCAATGGAGAGGCCACGGAAGGCTGCTGCCGGCTCGTTGAGTGCCGGGGAGCGCGAGGCAATGAGGGCGTCGAGGACGCCGCGGCAGAGGTTGAGCGCCATGCGGACGTCACCGGTGTGGTTCTGGACCCGCCGCGCGAGGAGCCGCAGCGCCTTGGCCTGAAAGATCTTGCCCTGCGAGCCCGAGCTGCTCTCCACGGTGGCGAGGCGGGCCTCGAGGATGGACTCGAGCTGCCCAGCAGTATACGGCCGGAACTCGAGCGTCGCCGGCGGCTTACCGAGCCGCCGCAGCTGCGGGAGCATGCGGTCGGTGAGGTCGAGGGCGTTGGCGACGCCAAAGAGGACCAGCGAGCCGGCGCCACCGGCCCATTCGAACATCTGGTATAGGATGGCGTTGCCGTTCGAGCCAAGCTGATCCATCTCATCGAGCACAATGATGAACGAGAGCGCCGAGTCGCCCTTGGCGAACGAGGCCTCGCAGACCGACTCGGAGACCGCAGCCGACGACGAGTGCGCGGCGACGGCGGCAGCAGCCACCCGCTGCCGCTGCGCAGACCGCCGCAGCGGTGGAATGCTGGTCACAGAAAAGAGCTTGGAGAGCACCCGCTGCGCGTGGTCGCCGGCAGACAGCGACCGCAGAAGCCGCACGTCAGCAGCCTCGGGCACAATCTCCTCCAGCACCACGCCCATCCGCTCAAGCTGCGAGGCTAGGAGCGCAAGCAGTGTCGTGTATGCCGTCGACGGCGTGATATGCGACATGCAGTTGAGGTGGACCGTCACCACTGCAGGCAGGCTCGGATCTGTCTGCTTGGCCGCGTGCACCTGTGCCGGCAGCGAGGTAAAGGTAAACGACTTGCCCGTTCCAGGCGCGCCTGACACGTACATCGATCCGGAGCTCTGATTTGCCAGCCGCGACCGCCAGAACCGCGAGATAACCTCGGCCTCGACCTCGCGCCCGGCAGGCCCGCTGCTGCTGGCGTCCGCAGCCTCGCACGCGCCCACAGACAGTGCCGCAGAGGCAGCCCGGAACACATCCACCACTCGCAGGCTGCTCATCGCCCGCTTCAGCTGCGGCGAGGTGCAGAGAAGATTCGAAACGCCCGCCAGCCCTGCGCTCTGCTGCGCCAGCCCCGTTGCCGCTGCAGACGCCGCTGCCGGTGCTAGCGCACCGGCCTTTGTCCTCGCATCACCAGTGAGGCGGCTGCAGCGGTCGTCGTCACCAACGCCATCTTCATCATCATTACTCGCCTTGCTCGCCTCCTCACCCGACCGCCGGCCCACCGGCACAAATCCAGCAGCCGCAAACGCTTCGCCAGCCTCACCAACCTCTCCATTCTCATCAACCATCACTCGATGACTTGCCCGAGCACTGAGCGTCTTGAGCCGCTTGGACGAGCGGCGGAGGAGGTCGGCGTCGTCTACTCACACCAGCACAGCACCGCAACCACCGAAATCACAGCGAGTCAGTCATGGGCAAGGGAAGGGGAGAGGGAGAGAGAGCGAAAAAATATTGGCCAAATGTCCCCAACTGCCGAACCGACTTGGGGGTGGGGGGGTGGGTAGTCAAGGCCGGGGTAATGGGGGGGGGGGGGGGAGAATGGGTTAAGACGTTGGTAAAGAGGATAGGGAGGTGCGGCATGGGATAGAGAGCATGATGGGCGGGAGAGGGAAGGGGAGAGGGTGGGCAACGGGGAGATAGTGGTGGTAGGGGGGGGGGTTGCAGGGAGGGGGGAGGCGACCAACGGCTGTAGAATCTACAGCGAATGTCCCCATCCCCCGTCACTCACAGAGACAGAGAGAGGGAGGGAGGGGGGGGACAAGGGCAGAGAGGAGAGGGAGGGGGGGAGGGGGCGGGGAGAGAGGAAGGAGGGGAGAGTACGTACCACCTTTCTGGCGGCCCCGTTTGGGGAGGGTGCGCGAGGGTATGGGCGACGGGGGCGAGAGCGGGTCGCTGGTCAGACCTGGGGCAATGGGCTTGAAGGAGAGCGAGGAAGTAGGCAACGATGCTGTCCGCAGCATGCTCTTCTGGCATGCCCTTGTGACTGTCCGTCGGGACGCCCGAGTCTTCATGTAGCCTCCCTGGATCATGGTGGAGGTGTGTACGGGGGGGGAGTGCAGTGGGTGGGTGGAGGGTGGGACAGGTGAGACGAGTGTGCTTGGGGGTAGTGTCGGGGGGGTTGGGGGGCTGGAGGCAGAGCCAGCATTTCCTCAGAGTTGCGATCAGTGGGCAGACGTTTTCTTGTCTGCCTTGGCCGTCTGCCTCTAATGACAGTGACAACGGAGCATGATGAGCGATGAGAGGTTGGGGTGATGATTGCAAGCTCAGCTGAGTGATAAAGCACAAAAGTGCATCATATCGGTAGGTAATAGAGTGGTTATGTGTGTGTGGGTAGTGGGGGGGGGGGGGGTTTACAGCTCACCGGACGTTAAAGTACAGATGACGGAGCGGCGACTCGTTGGGGTCAACTACGACATAGCGCAAAAGGTACTTGCGGAGCTCATCGAGGGCGATGATGACAGCGGCAAAGAGGAGTGAGGGGAGCCAGCCACGGAAGGCGACGGCGCAGGTGCCGAAGAAGACCTGGAACGGGCTGACCTCCAGCGAGAGGACAAGCAGGACCATCTGAACCACAATGAGGCTGGCGTGGATGGCGAGCGTCCGCCGCGGAAGATCGATGAGCGACGCCGAGCGGGTGAGGGTGGTGGTGAGGAGGGCAAAGAAGCCAACAACAAGGCCGAGGTAAAAGGCCGAGCGGGCCTCGCAGAGTACGTTCCCGGCGCCGGCGATGGGCGCGCCGCTCTCCCACGCGTTGGCCTGACCGGCCAGCGACGAGGTGACGGTGTTCATGACGGCGGCATAGTTGCTCAGCGCGCCGAGGACGACCAAGCCCGCAAGGAGCGAGGCGTAGAGGACGAGAGGACCGGAGAAGAGGCGGCCGAACCGGAGGAGCTTGCCCATCGACGGCGTCACGCTGCGAGTTTTGTCAGTGAGCATGACGTCCGGCTCCACAAACGGCTTCTTGACCAGCCGCGGGAAGACAATGGTGTGGAGACGGACGACGAGCTCGGCGAGGACAAGAAGCGAGGCCGTAAACGGAAGTGGGAGCGCAAACCAAAAGCCGAGAGCGAGAGCCATAGTGTATGCCAGGTACATGGCCGTTCGCCCAGCGACAGCCTTGATTTCGGTGTCGACGGCGCCGCGGGCCCGAGCCAGGACGGTGGCGAGCGTCTCGAGCGAGGCATCGGCGAGGTACATGTCGCAAAAGGTGGCATGCTTGACGTGCGACGGCCCGTTGGCGGCGCAGAGGGTGAGGAGTCGGTTGGAGAGGGTGTAGATGCCGACCTGGGCGTGAGCCTCGTCGAGTGCTCCACCCATCCAGTCGTCGGCGCGCCCGATGAGGACTGCGGTCGACTGCGCCGCCACGTCAGTGAGGTAAGCGAGGCCGGCAGCGAGCGTGTGGGCGTCGACGCTCGGCACCACCATCGACTTGCCGAGCTCAAAGCCGGCGCCGGCGGGCGCAGCGGCGTTGATGAACGGCGGGACGAGCGAGTCCAGCGAGGTCTTGCGGAGGACAATGCCGGCTGACTGCGCCAGCGCGAGGGTTGTCTGTGGAGCGTACGGCGAGAACAAGTGAGTCGTTACGCCCGACGTCTGCAGCTGAGTCACCAGCCGCCCAACTTCTGGGTTGGCCTTGAGCGGAACGCCGACGAGGCCAACGAGTGTAAAGTCGGCAGTCCATTCGTCCAGAAAGGCAGATGGCGAGCTGACGAGCTGGCGAGCGTACTCGCGGCCAGACACATTCTCTGGGAGCAAGAGCCGCTTGTGGACGTAAGCCATGACGACTTGGCCAGCGGCCTCCATCGTCCGGACTGTTGTCTTCAGCTTGAGCTGGGCCGAGAGGCCTAGTGGCGTCAGAGTCTCAACGTACTCGGCAGCCTTGGGTCCGCCTGCCGCCACCAGGCATGTGGTGGCCACGTTGGCGGTGAGCAGCATCCGCAATGGCGCAACACCGACCACAATGTGCGCGTCTTCGGCGAGCGGATGGATCGAGACCACAAACGAGGAGGCGAGCGAGTGCGCAGCAGCAGTCGCAACAGGGACCAGGCCGGACGCCGTCGCCGCCTTGGGCGCGCGCCCAAAGACAATCCGGCCCATGCACGGGTGCTGCGCCTTGCATCCCCGGACGTCCAGCGCGTCGTGGGCGAGCGCAAGCAACGCGCGCGAAACTGGCTCGTTGGCACGGATAGTGTCCTCGTCACCGTAGAGCGTATCGACAAAGGCCTTGGTGGTAGTCAGCGCCACCGCCCGCAGCAAGCCGTCGTACTTGCGCCGGCGGAGGCTCGCCTGCCACGACCGTTCGGTCATGGTTGTGCGGTCGAGCGGCTCGTCGTCGGTGGGGAAGAGGATGGTGCTAACGGCGTGCGGTACGCCGTCAATCAGCTGGGCCGGCGAAATGACAATCTGCGTCGTCTCCACAAGCTTGTCTGACGCCGAAAGGGTGAGTGCGGTGGCCAGCCGGCGCGGGCGTTCACCGGCGAGCACGCGCTCGGCCTCGAGTGCGCGGAGCTGGACCCGCATCCGATCCGGAAGAACGAGCCAGAGGTAGACTGCAGTGATGGAGATGACCGTCAGCGGGTCTAGGCCTTCGGTGATGCCGGCGAGCAGGTATGAGGTTGCTGCAAGCAGAGCGCCGGCAAGCATGAACCGTCCGCCGAGCTGGGCCTCGGCGAGAGTGAGTGTTGAAAAGGCGCGGAGCGGGATGCGGAAGGCGTGAACAAGCGAGGCCGAAAAGGTGGTCGAGAGCAACGCAACGCCGCCAGACCTGACCAGATGGGTGCCTTCGAGGTCAGGCTTGGTTGACGCAGCCATCCGAGTCTCGCCCATCTCGTCGTCGTCGAGCGGATCAAGAACAAGCGACGAGGCCCGCGACGGATCGCCGTAGTACAGCGAGTCGGCGCCAACAGCAACGACGAGGCCGAGTGCGTAGCCGGTCACCATGGTTTCGCCGGCAAAGGCCATGTTGGGTGCGCGCGCATACGCGCGGTGGGTGTTGGGCGCGGCGGCTGGCCGGCGCGACAGCTGGCTCGGCTCGCTGCGGGCGCTTGAGTCAACCACCAACTTGCCCGAGTCGGTGACAATGCGGATGTCGGCCGGAACAACGCCCGGCGCTGAGACTTCGATGAGGTCACCGGGGACGAGGTCCTGCACCAGGGTGTGGGCGCGGCCGCCCGCGCGAATGGCAACGGTGTGGGTGTAGCCGTACGACCAGCCAAACCACGCCCGCGCCGTCTCCCAGCGGAGCCTTGCCCAAGTGTCCTGAAACTCCAGCGCCATGACAAGCTGCACAAAGGCGGCGAGAAGGAGGAGCATGCATGCGGCGCCGGCCGTCACGTCCGAGTCGCGAATGGCCTTGGCAAAGGTGAGCACCACTGCAAGCCAGAGCGCCATCCGTGACTCGTGCTTGAAGATGAGCTCACGAGCGAGAGTAACCAGCGTGGCCACAATAGATTCGCGCGGCGACTGGAACTGTGCCATGGCCGGTGGCGGCGACCGCCAGTGGTGTCCGAGCTCGTCCAGCCGCGCCTCGTGATCCTCGGCGCTGAGACCGATCTTGCATGATGTCTGCAGCGCCTCGGCGAGCGCATCAACCTCCAAAACATGCGGCAGCAGTGCGCCGGCCTCGGCCTCGTTGGCAAACTCTTCTGCAAACTCGAGCGTCACCGACGCCGGCTGGACAACAGGTGAGGCCGGCCGCGGCTGGCTGGGCCTCGCCGCCCGAGACCGGTAGACAAGAGCAGTGTCAATGAACTCGTTCTCGGCATCAGCTCCGATGTATGGGTCAGGCCTGTCTTCTGACGAGCTCTCCAGCACCAGCTCAGCCGGCGTTGGTTCTGGAAGTGGCCGGACTCTCGGAGGCGGCGCAACAGGATCTGCCAGCCCTGATGACGACGACGACGCTTCTGCCGCCTTTTCCTCTACCTTGTCGATCTTGTCAGCCTTGCTCTTGCGCACCCTGCGCTTGCCCTTCCGCTTTGTCCGCCGGTGCCGCCTGTGGCGATCGGGCACAGCGAGTGATGTGCCGAGTGTAGCCGACTCGCGAGACTTGCCCTTACCCTCGCCCTTGGGCTCGCGAGGCTTGTCCTTGGGCTTGTTGTCGTCGTCGTCAATGGTGACGGCCTCGTGGTTGTTGTCGTTGTCGTGGTTGTTGTCGTTGCCGGATGTGTGGGCGCCGTCCTTGCCCTTGCTCTTGCGCTTGCTCTTGCTCTTGCTCTTGCGCTTGCGCTTGCTCTTGCTCTTGCGCGACTTGGCCTTGGCCTTGACCTTGCCCTTGCCCTTGGCCTTGCTCTTGCTCTTGCTCTTAAGCGACTTGGCCTTGTTGTTCCTGACCTCGGCCGCCACACCGTCAGCCGCCTCTCCCTCCCCACCAGGAGCTCCAGCACCAGCAGCGGCAGGGCCAGGACTACCCAGCTCGCCGCCGTTATCAGCTGCAAACACCGTGTTCTGCTTGTCAGCCATCACCAGCCCAGCAACGGCAACGGTCCGCTATCTGACGTCCTCGTACGGGTGACAAGTGCCCAGTGACGGTGACGGGAGGGGGTGAGTGTGTGGGTGTGTGTGTGGGGGGGGGCGCGGGGGGCGGAGGCGGGGTGGCAGTGGCGGACAACGGCCGGCGGTGGCCAACTCGATTGAGAGGGAGAGAGAAGGGAGGGGAGGGGGGGGGGGGGGGGGGGGTTGGAGAGGAAGATCGGTAGTGGATAAGGGTGTACGGAGGAGCGATGGGGAGGTGGCGGGATGGAGGCGGGAGTGACAATAACCACCAGATCATACTCACCTACAGAGCTACAGGCGGATGATGACGGTGGGGATGATGGCCATCACATGGCAAAGCAATGCACTGTACTGCATCGCATCAACATTGGGTTGTGTTGTGTTACTTGACACCATGCATGTGCATCGCATCAGCTCAGTTCGCCTCGTCTCATCCGACATGGCTTGGTCCCGGCGCGGCCGACTGGGCTCGGCGGACAAGACGCCCCAGCGGACCGAGCGGTGCGGACCGGCATGACGCGACCGGTTGCGCTGCTATGTTCCACACCACTCCACGGCGAGGGAGCAGCAGACGGCGGGTAAAGAAGATGTCTGCGGTGGAGCAGCTGCTGCCGGGCGGCGGGATGAGGGCGAAGCGGCGGCGGGCGGCACGGGCTGCGCGGGTGGCCGACGAGGTCCGTGTCGGCCCGGCGGTATCGGCGCCGACGGCCGAGGCATGGGTGCCGGACAGCCGGCTGGTGGCACTATCGGAGCGGGCGACGGCGACGACAGAGCTGGTACTGAAGCGGCTAGAGGTGGAGGAGCAGGTGCTCTTTGCTAACGGGCCGATCTTGCCTGCGCTGCTGGTCCTTGTCCCTGCGCTCGGCGCGCTCGTCCTCGCCGTCCTTGCATCCGTCCTCGCCTCGCTCTCGCTGCTGTGGCCGGCTGTCGGCTTTGGCGTCGTCTGCAGCATCTGGGTATGGGGTTGGGCAAGAGTGCTCCTCAAGATGCATCGCACGGCGTACGTGCTGACGTCTGGCCGGATCATGGCGGTGGCGGCGGGCGTGCCGGGCTTGTTTGGCACCTCGGCCACTCTGATCGGCTACGAAAATGTGGTGCGGGTGCGGATGACCCGTGCTGGGCACGTGGCGGTCGAAGTAGTGGGCAGCAAGATGCTCAAGATGTATTACTTGGAGAGCGCTGAGGCTGTGGCGGCAGCGCTCAGCTCGCTGGTGAGCGAGGCGAAGCGGAGCAGCGCCGCGGCCGAGCCGTGGCGGAGCTAAGCGATGGCTCACATGGTCTTGAGGCGGCGCTTGTCTTTGGGCTCGACCTTGGCCACGGGAACCGACGCCGGCGTCTGCATGTCAGGGTCCCAGATGGCGCGCCAGGCCTGCTCGCGAGTGATGGGCTTGTTGTTGAGCTGGCGGGTCTTCTTCAGCAGCCACGATGGGGTGAGGAGGAACGACATGAGGGCAAGCGAGGGGTAGAAAGCCAGGATAGAGAGCCACGAGAGCTCGGTCGAGAGCTGGTGCCAGTAGCGGAAGGTTTGGATCCACACAAAGGCCTCGATGAATGAGCGCCCGTGGAACATGTGGACCATGAGCATCTGATTAGCCCGCCACAGCGTCGTCGTCTCGTAGCCCATGCGCCAAGAAATCCACGAGAGAGCGGTGAACGGAGTAGAGCACTCGAGAATGAGGCCGAGGACGCCAAAGTAGTGCAGATGGCCGGTGTAGAGGATGGCCGAGAAGCCGCCAAGCGAGATGACATGGTGGATGAAGAGGAGGAGATCAAACTGGGCAAAGACAATGTTGGAGGCAAAGAGAGCAAAGCACTCAAAGACAAAGAAGCCGATGGCATTGCAAATGAGCCAGGTGGAGAGCGGTGACGAGACCGAGACGATCGAGCCATCGCGCATGCCCACAAAGCCACAGTAGACGCCAAGCGGTGCAAAGAGGCCACCAAAGACAGCTCGGACAAGTGCCAGGGCCCAGAACACCCTTGCCTGCGGCTTTAGGCCACGGAAGGTCGACGAGACCACCAGCGACACTGCCCACCACACCACAAACATAGCCACCCACAGCCCTGCTCGCTCTCTGTAGTATGTGCGTATGCGTGTACCTCTCCTGTGAGTCTATGTCAAGCCCTTCCCCCTTTCTCCCTCCCCTCCCCCTTGTCTCTCCTCTCCTGCCGCCTCTCCCCCCCGCGTCCCGGCGACCTGTCTGTCCCCTTGCCCGTAGGCATGGGTATGGGTATGGGTATGGACATGGGCAGTACTTACAGAAAGTACTCGAGACTCACTTCGTAGTACTGCAGGTACGTCATGATGGGTCCGGACGAGGAGGACCAGTCGTGCATCTCCTGCACAGCAGAGGCGGTGGAGGCTGCCATGGCACGTGCCTTGCCAGCGCAGATGAGTCAGGTGACTCTGACTCTGGCCGTGGCCGTGGTTCTGGCCGAGGTTCTGGCCCTGATGACGGGACGGCAGTGGCTAAACGCTTTACTTGTTACCAACTCATCAAGCTAGCGGGGGGAGGGGGGGGGCACCTCAGCGACTAGGTGGCAGCTCATCGGCCTTACTGCCGTCGGTCAAGTCCAGACTCCCATCAACGGTGTACACCGCCCCAGGCCGGGCTGGCAGCTACGAGAAAAAGCCTGGTCGCTTGCCAACGGCGGCGTCGGCAACAATGGTGGCGATCCATTTGCGCCGGGTGGCGGGACGCTTGCACAAGTACACCTTGCTGAGCGATCCCTTGATCACCGACTTGGGGTGCGCCTGCCAAGTCTCTACTGCGAGCGGACCGGCGGCTTCGAGCGCGGCCTGCAGGTCGGCAGGCACGACCAGGGCTTCGATGTTGTCTAGCCGCGCCCACGAACCGTCAGCCTTGGCGGCAGCAATGACGGAAGCACCGCGGGCAGTCATGCGCCCCGATGCCTCGAGCTCAGCAATGGTCCGCTTGTTGAGCGCCGACCAACCCGAGCCCGGCTTGCGCGGATGCAGGTCGACGCACCGCAGGACGCCCGGATCCAGCTTGCGAGTTGTCGAGTCGATCCAGCCAAAGCACAGTGCTTCGCGAACCAAGCCTGTCCAGTCAAGAACCTCGGCCTCAGCCACGCCACAAAATGAGGCGATCCGAGTCTGTGAGCCCTTGTACGCCATCGGCACCGCTACCGCGCCCGAGCTCTCCGCATTGACCTCCAGCCACGCTCGAAGCCGCGCTGCCGTCACCACATCTGCCAGCTCAAGGCAGGGGTACCTGCTTGAGCACAGCTCCGCCAAGCTCCGTCCCGATCCATCAGCCGCTCGCCACACAGGCCTCAGCTCCCCGCCATCGCCCTTGCTGCTGCTGCCGCCCCCTCCGCCCGATCCCGATCCGGGCCCCGATCCGGGTCCCGATCCCAGGCTCGACTCCGCCGCCACTATCTCTGTCCCCGAGCCTGCCAGACTCGCCACGTAGTCCTCGATATGGCGTGGCTGGATGGTGCTCGGAGCCGAGTCTGAGCTCGGATCGCTGGCGGCAGCAAAGCAGACGAGGCCGTCAACAAGCGAGGCCACGACGGCCGCCAGAGCCGCCTGGGCAAAGACCACCGCCTTGGGCCCTGCCGAGGGCATCAGCGCCCGCACTCGACGGCCAGGAACGAGCGGTATCGACTCGCCGGTACACCTGCCTCCCTGCGCCTCCATATCCTCCAGCCTACACAACGACAGGTGGTGACGAGCCGCGTGCGAGCCACGGCACACCATCATCCCTGCCGCGTCCAAGCCCGAGTCCGAGACCCATGATCATCGCCATCATCACCATCGCATGCACTGACACATCAAGCTCACGCCACAATGTCTCATGTCGTGCTGTCATACCCGTACCAGATCACAGCGCTCTGCCCTGACCTCGTCCTGCCTTGCCGTCCTCTGCCTTGGTTGTGACATAGCCACATCCACGGTCATGGCCACGGAACTGATTCTGATCAGCCTCGCCCTCACCCCCTCACCAACCCGACCAACTCGATTCGCATACCCATACCCATACCCCTCAACTATCCATCCATCTCCATCATGATCCCCCCCCGCAACCAACC